CTAATATGATACTGCATACCATTAAAGTGAATCAGACCATTAGCACTCTCTAACGCGAGCCACCTCATTTCAGCAGTGCACAGAACTCATTATCTATTTTGAAACACAACTCTATTACAGAATTCAAAAATGTGATTGGATAGGGCTGACGATCATTTTACACAGTTGACCTTCCAATAAAGTTGTCGCTTATTACAGAAATAGGCATGTGATAAAGACCATTTCTACTGTGTTTAAGCAATGTGTTATCTTCTGTTAACAGCTTTTTATCTATGCACATAGAGCCTTAAACTGACAAGTTGCGCTGATATCAGCATTTAATTTTTCCACTGTCTAAAACTACAAACTTCAACATTCAGGAAAACTACAACGTGTCCTAATAATGTCAACTTTGCAACTCTGAGTTGTCATTAAACAGTGATGGATTTTTTCTGACAGTGAGAGCAGTATGCATTTTAAATATCTTTTAAGTCCTACTCTGATGTAGGAATATTTTTAGTCCTAAGGTAATGTTTATCATGATTTATAGAAGTGATTCTGGCATGCCTGATAAATAAAGGCCCAGATCTGAGTCACTTGGAGGGGAAAAAAATTGGATTTGAGTCAGTTCACCATGTAATGTGAATGTAGCTTTGGTTACAGTAACAAGTGTGTTTGTAATTTATTTTCACCTAAGTTGTTTGGTAGATAGACACTTTCTAATCACATCAAACGATGTCTCTTAATCACACTAAAGCTATATAGGACATCTTGTTCCCATGTCTGTGGTACTAGTGAGGGAGAAGTTTAATCCAACCACACTCACTCTGTTACTATAGATAACATGAGAACAGAGTTGACTAGATTTTTTAAAAATTCCCCTTTAATCACAGAGCAAATCCTTTGCAGCATTCTACTGTGTGTTTGACAGCACAAGGACTCAGTATGCTTACTGGGCTTTAATTATCCTCAAATCTGTTTTGTTGAAGTACTTTAGTAGTTGTCCATGACATTAATTCTTAATCTTTTGTGAAAGTGCTATGTCAAAGGTGGCAAAGCACTTTGTGTATCAGAGGTTATTTGACAGAACATCACTAAATAAAACTAGAAAAGATGTCAGTGAAATTATACTGCCATAGAAAACATATTTTGTCTGTCATAGAGGACCAAGTACAAGAGGGGTACAAATTTCAGAAGACTTTTTGAATCACCATAAAGCACTAAATACTGTATAACTCAGAAGGAACATTTATCTGCTGTTTGAGGCTTAACAAACCAGGAAATGCAATAGAATACAGCATGTTGCAACTTACCTAGTAGATTGCACAGTTAACTGCGACTGAAATATTCAATAGAAACATGATTAACAATCTTACCTTAATAGTTCAAAAAAGTTGTATTCATGGCAAACCCCACGCAGTGGGAAGTGTAATCTGTTTTCCAGACCACAATTACACAACAGCTGCTGTACTAGGGAAAACAGCAGGGGACTTTCTCTTCATCATTCAATTTGATCCATTTCATATACTGTGAGGCACCCTGCTCCACAGAGGCTCAGCCTATACCAGTTTCAAATTGGGTTTGAATGGACAGTTGAAGAACTGAATGACTGCATGATGATTAACAGCCAAGAAGTCTTACAAACAAAATAAGTTATCATTGTATTACAGAACAACCCAGAGAGTTGGGTTGTTGTTGTTGTTCCAGTCATATCGCAACAACTATTAGATGGGTTGGCACAAAACACTCTACATGACTAATCACAGTTACTAGGGGATGAAGTTACACACTTTGATGATCACTTGAGATTTCATGTCACACCACCAGCTGGCTGACATTTCTGATTCTGTTTTGACAACTATAGCTTAGTACAGATGATACTTCCCCTTATTTTCATCATCATGAGACCAAAATTTTCACTTATTCAACAATAATCTTGACATTAACACAATGAATTGATACAAACTCAAATACATTTAATACAATTGTTGTTCCCAGACAATGCATCCTATCCTAAGTACTTTGACATAGCAGATACTACACCTGGTTAACACTGTCATCATGAGCATCAAGGCTAAATGACAAGGCAAAATGGACAACTGTCCAAGAGTCCCGAACCCCCAGAGGCCCCAAAAGCCCCAGGTGAACATCATTTTGGTCTATCATATCATTTGGACCTACATAATTTTGGTGTAAATGTGTTCAATATGTGTACCACTGATGTGCAATATCATCACTGAAGGATCTTCCAATCTGTCTCGTGGACCTGGTTTTAACAAGTCATTTAACCCAAAACAACAGTGTATGTTGTTTGTCTATAGTTTCAAATAGACATATTGGAACATGTTGCAGGCATCAAATTCAAAAGTGAATATTTGCAAAAAACAATAAAGTTTATTAGTTTGAACATTAAATATCTTGTCTTTTTGGTCTATTCAATTAAATAGAGTCAAAAAGGATTTGCAAGTCAATGTATTTTGTGTTTATTTGTGTTTTACACAGTGTCCCAAGTGTCATTGGAATTGGGGTGTGTAAATGATTGTCAGAAAAGTGTGAACATTTCCCATCTGTATTCCCTGAAGTCCAAATGAACATGGAGTATTCTAGTTATGGTTGAGCAGTTGTCAAAAATACAAAGGTGTTGAGTTTATTCTCCTTTAAGAGGCTGGAACAAGGTGTTCTTTTGCCTTTATTCATAAGCCCAAAAACTTAAACAATGAATTAGTTGTCAAACTTGTTACCTGTCAATCAATTATTAAACTACTAATTTCAGGTCTAGAGTACTGGCTGGTTTCTGGATGCCTGGGGATATAATTAAACTGCCATGACTCCTCAGGAGGTTAATCCAGCCATGGTAAGATTTCTGATGTCATTAATTGGCAAGGACAAATGACCTACATGGACATTTAGAATGGAGAACTTGTCCTAGCCAGTTATGTTGTTTATTTGTTTTAAATCACAAATACATCAAACATCAATAAACAAAAATTTAGTAAGTTTATGGAGTACTGACTTGGGCTACATAATCTGGCTCTTCCCATACCTGTAATCTGGCAAAACATGAATGTACTGATGTGGTTGGTTCCACTTTGCTTTTCCACTGCACTTTTCCCTTTGTCAGTCACTGTACATGAGGGCAGGACTGAGCTCCTCACACACACAGCTGAGCAGAGAGCATCAAGTCAATGATCATAATTCTCGTTAAGGTGCAACAAAATTTGACTGTATGAGCAGTTTATCAAACACCTATAGCACAAGCAGAACACAGACTTGCAGAAATGTGACATCTTTGCCCACAGTTAACTCACTGAAGTCCGTTTGAACACGAGAACAATTTGCCCGTGAACTGGTGGGACTTGTTAAGTACCGCCTCCCGAGGAGTGCCGAAAATTAACTATTGGGAGCTTGCCTCAAAAATGGGGTGGAGGGCATTAGAAACAAAAGAACTCAGCGCAAGGGGTATAAGTTCCATTACGGGTTGGATAGTTCCTACCGTGGAAAAGCCTTGTGACCTCTGTTGGTCACATTGATGTGCTTGTGATGTACCAGGATGTGAAATGTCTTATTTACCATTACAGCTCAGTCAGCTGTATCCAGCATAATTTTTACACTGAAGTCGTAAGTGTAGAGGCTTGGAAATAGTGATGAAAAAAAATAGACACCCCTAAAATTTTATTTTCTTACTGTACTATTTCATTTTTACTGTTGACATTCATTTGGTTCCTATGACATCTCTTTTGAGCTGGGCATATTTCCTATATTGGCCAGTAGATGGTGCATGATGCGCAGAAGTGGTAGAGAGTAGGCTTGGGGCACGCCAGAGGAAGAATCATTCCTCTCGTGTGAAATAAACCTGCTGAAGCGTGTCCCCTGTGTACCCTCTATCCCAGGTTGGTAAACACTGAATGTTAAGAGTTAGATGCAAACGGTAGGAGTTGTAAGGTGTCAGAGATGATATTGGTTCATGTGAGGTAGGGTGAAATGGGTTTTGTGGAGGAATTTTGAGTTAACAGCGAAACGTGTTGTAAGATAACCTGCTAATGCTAATGGTCAATTTAGGGGGATACTATGGGGAGAGAAGCTAACCCAATGTTACAAGGAGCCTTTTGAATAGTACAGTTAATACTTTAATGAAATGGTTTCATGCAGTTTGACATTTGCTGGTTTTATTCGTCACTATGTGCACATTTTCGGTTTATTACCAAACCAGAAATGGCGGTCACGTTCCAGTTTAAAGGGGAACAGCGCCACTTCAAGGACATTGTAAATTACAGTATATATTAAGCCGATTAATTCGATGTACATGATGTTCCATGGGTTGCTGTTAAAAATATAAACATTTGTACAAGTTTAGAAACCACCCAGTAGTTCATTTGGTGTTGGGGGTGAATTGTTACTTTGGATCAAAATGACATTAGTAAATTTGTAAATGAACATGATTGTGTGAATAGTAAGTGTGTGTTTTCTTGTGATGTGGTTAGGTGAGAGAAAGTAACAGAGTTAACTAACTATGGCCACATGGACATTGGACTGGGTTAAGGCCATTCAGTTATCTAGTCATGTTAACATGTGAATAAGAGAGAGAATCATTCCTCTCGTGTGAAATAAACCTGCTGAAGCGTGTCCTCTGTGTACCCTCTATCCCAGACACATGCCCTCTGAATCCCAGAGGAGCAACATAAGCTTTCAAAATGAATAACTTTTAATTAAAAAACAAGACTGTATTTTCAAAATTGCGAAAGTCACTTTCGACTTTTCCCGTTTAGGGGTCACCACAGCGAATCGTCACACTGACGACTCGCATGTTAACATTTGGCACGTTTTACACTGGAACTCTTCCTGATGCAACCGATTTGAACCCGGGATGTAGCGGTGAGAGCGCGGTGCCTTAACCACTAGCCTACCAGGGACGGCTACTGTATTTTCAAAATAAATATGTTTTAATAGTTACACTAAAAATAACAAAAAAATACCATTTATATTTTAAAACATTTTACAGCACCAATAAATATATTAATGTGAAAATATACTAAAAACATGGCTGTACAATTCATTTAAATACAAATCAAATGATGTGATCATGAGAGGAGTGGAGAGGCTTAGGCACAGAGCTAGCAGCCGGACTCAGTGAAAACACTCTCAGGCCTCTAGTTTGAGGGTGGCCGCACAGAAGGTCAGTTCACATACACAGCATTGGTACATCTGGCACCAACAGACACACAGGTAGGATTCATGAAAAGACGTGATTTTGGAGGGTGGATGCTTTTCTGTGTAGCAGCTTTAGGCTATAAGCATCTGATATCAAGACCCTTTAGAATGGCTCATTATAACAGCTTATACTACATTATAGCTTTGTTGCATGGAAACAGGTAAAAGCCATTTGAAAAAGATGACTAAAATCTAAAGTCTTGACCTGTCTCCTGACCATTTCTGACAATAAGCCTTGCACACAATGCAATTACATATTCACACCTTTGAATGTTTAAGTTGCGCACACAAATTAGTCATTTGTTCTTTCAAATGAGTCAAAGTTATTGTAACAGTTAAGACCTGAAGATACAGGTGGTTGTGGCTGGTCCTGTGACTTACAGAGGAGCCTTTCAGTGTAGATGTGACTTATTACTGCACTCTGTTTACCTGCTAGGTGCACACATGCTGCTTTGTCACATAAACAGTGGAAGATGAATGAATTATATTTGTGACAGCGATACATGTGTATTCTGTTTTCAAGGTTTTAGCTGTTAAGTTTGTGGAATTTTCAGAATTCATTGGGTTCTCTTGAGCAATTTAAGGGAACTAATTACTAATGTGCTACTAATTCCAATAAATTATTAATTCCATAAGTACTAATTGCTAGGCACAAATTATCAACTCAAGAACACAAATGACTAATTTGGGCATGACTGCTAAGGCTACATAGAAATGTCAGAGGTACATTTTTTCCAAGGTCCAAACTGTCCTCTGTGCATTTGCCATCTGGACAAAATTTTTCACATAATTACCACAGCTCCTGGACATTAAATCTGAACCAGGTATGATATTTAAATAAAATACATAATATATGGCAGTACATACTGTATTACAGTGACCTTATGTCATTAGTAGTTTTAAATCTTCCTAGTGCAACTTATGCGTCTCACTTATATATTTACCTTGTGACTTTATTGTACTTTAGATCCTATCAAAGAGTCAGGTTCTTTTCTCATATAACATTTTAACATCAAAGGAAATATTTGATTTGTGATAAGCAGTGGTGAACCTCACAACAGTATAATATTAAGAGTGAGGACATTATGTTAGTGCTTGGGTTCTAATCAGAGAAAACACTGTGCCAGTTCGCCACCCACAGACAAGAGGCCACAGTCCGAATGACTTCACTATATTAGGGTCAAGCTGAGCAGTGGCAACAAGACTCCTACAGTCCTTAATATGATGTGTCTTTAGGCCCACAAGTGCAAAACCACATGCCCATCGCTCCAGTCAAGAATAAAAAACAAACAAACAAAAAAAACACCTGTGCGGGCACATCATTCCCACATATGTTGGTAACTTGGGTTTCTATCGGTCAGCGGTCCCAGCATGATTCCCTTCTGGCTTTAGTTTATATCAGGAATGTCAAAGCACTGTCCTTCAGTCCTTTGTCCCCACATAAAAAGGCATCTGCAACCATATGTATTCTCCATCCAAACTCCAGACAAACTGAAAACAGTTCAGGAGTACAAAAAAAAACAACCTTAACACAGCATATAAATATCATAGAACAAAATACTGAAAATATTCTATAAATTAAATGCAGTGTACCCGACGAAGGGATGTCTAATGAACATATACAGATTGTTAAAAATGAATTGCTCTGTTGTAGATGCATATTTCTTTGGAAACAAACACAAAGCCATTAAATAAAGAAACTGGAAGGTTTTGAAGGTTAGGTGGTGATGTCATCTATATATACCTACAGTAATGTCTCTTTAGACAGCCTGGCCTCAAGATGTTGTGAAACACAAACACCTCAAAATGTCAATAATAAACTAACAAAACAAATCTGTTCTCCCACCACAGAAGGGTTACAGGAGGAGGCATAAACTTAAACAGGTGGCGGTTTTTCTCTAACCCTGATGAAAATTCTGTTTCTACTTTTCACTCCAAAGTTAAAGGTCATTTACATGCTCACCCTTAGGGATAGGCCATACCCTAACCAAAGTTTAACACAGGCTAAAATCTATTTACCTGCCAAAATCATTAACTAATCTGTAGTCCAGTTCTTACCATTGTCAACCCTTCCACGAGGGAAGAAAGTCATCTTCACATTATCTGATACCGCTGCACTTAACCTTTGTCAACAGTAACTTCACACCAGTTCAGTGGAGACTAAACTTCAGACCATGTCACACAACAGCTGTTGGACTTGCTGTTCAGTTCAAGTACAACTAGTCCTGTGTGTTTCCTTTCAGTCTCTTCTGTCAGAGTTCAGAGGTGAATTTGCCTTCTGCTGCACTGCTCCATGTTGTTGTGGTCACCAGTTTGTCTTCTAAGAAATATTTAAGGTATTCAAATCCACAGCAGACCAGCATCCAGTGAAGTGTTACATAAAATAAAAGATTTCTTCTCCCAGTTTTACATATGAGCATTAGGGCACAGAGACATTTCCCATTCACACACTAGTGGTGCATTCGTTTCGCTTTAAATAGTGTCTATATGTAGCAGCAATATACAATGTAGTTGTATTCATAGTATATGTACATACATAATATCTTTAGGCGGAAAACAGAGAGTGGCAAGATCTGCATTCAGAATGTCCTGTCATGTGTTCTTGTTTTGTGTCCTTGCCGGGAATGCATCCTCAGGTTTCAAAGTGCTGTGCCAAGACAAGAATTTCTTCATAACAGTGTTGCTGGTCTCATCTCCTTGGTTTGACACATCTGTGGAGGACAAATTTAAAATCTGTTTGAGTCACAAGCAGCCAACTGGTTTTATACATCCAGATCTCAGAATATCATGAGCATGATGTGTTGCACATAACTGCTCCACACAACAAAGACAGGGGTAGAACAGGAAGTAGAAGTGGACAGTGAACAAAGTTGGGGAATCAATGATCAGGGGTAGTTTCCACTTCCTGGTACATGTGACATACAATACATATATATAAAATGTACTTTTTCCATGAAAGATTTGGTCTTTGGTCTCATGTCACTATGTTCTCTGAGACTGTGGTAGCTTAGTTCAAGGGGGTGGGGTGGTATGGGTGAACAGGCACTTAACCCCAGTTCTACAGCACTCTCATCCTTAAAGTCCCTCCACCCTGTCTGTGGAAAGAATGCCAGTGGTCACTGACATTGTGTTGCTCTCTCAATCCAAACCAATGTGGGGGGCTCTCAGGTCAGGGAAGGGGTTGGGTCAAGAGATGTCACAAAAACACAGCCTTGTTAACTAAAGGCAGCAGCTCTCTACTGGGCTCCATGCTGCACACAGGGTGAGGACTCCACTCATTTTTACTCATGAAAATGACACAAGTAAAAGCCAGTAACTGTGACACGCAAGCAGCATGAACACTCGGTCATTTGCAAACCTTTGTCAATATGAACGACCAGTGAAGCACCCGTCATTGCTGCTGAGGACTTTTTTTGTGCAATTCAAGTTTTGGCTGTATTTATCCAGATACCTGTCTCTGGTGTTTCTGCATTCATCCTCAATATAGTGGAGGTAAATGGCATGATAGGGAACAGTGTGGGGGTGTGTCAAGAGAGATCCCTAACAGGAGTTAAGCCAGGGGTGTTGAGGTTATGTGGAATGCACTTTGACCACTCAGCCATCATTTTGCTGAAGGAAATGTCCAACTGAAAGCTGCTGACAGTGAGGCCTATGGATTGTTAAGAGTCAAGGAAAAACACTTTCTGCATAAAGATGTTGCAGTTAAATATTTTTCTGGGATTTTTAAAAATATTTTTCAGCACCACCAGCAAAACTGCATTTACTTCTGTTGTATTAGGGTGGTAGTTACTGGATATAAAAAAAAAAATCTTGGACAAATATAACCAAAACTGTAAACTGGCAAGTAAGAGTTTAAGACAGATGAACCAACTTTTTAAAAAGTTTACTTGCTGCTCACGCATCTTAGGCTCATGGGTGAGCCTTAGATTTCACCCTGTGAAATCCCCTTTTACAATGATTTTTCCCACCCAGCTAAAACAAGGCAACTTGCTGACCTAATATGAAACGTATGAAATGAGTCTTGGACTGTCAAACCTTAACTCAGACTTTTGTAATAAATCCTGGCAATGTTTTAAAGCTAAGCTGAATGACAGCATCATGTCAATTGTTAGATGTAATATCTTTAACATTCAGACCAAATTAAAACAACATTTCAGTGTAATCACAAGATATTATTATCTCCTGAATGTGATGTGACTGTTGCATTCGATTCAGTTCAATTCAGTTCACCTTGATTTTTGGTTTGGCACATTACAAATAATTTCAAGGCACATTACAGAAGGACACATGTAGCGACTGTATATATCTTACAGTATAATATAAAAAAACGCAACACATCGCCCTTGAGCAAGCACTTGGGGACAGCGGGGAGGAAAAACTCCCTTTAACGGAAAAAACCTCTGACAGACCCCGGCTCTTGGTGGGCGGCCTTCTGCCTCGACCGGTTAGGGTGAGTGAATAGAGGAGGGTGTATTCAGGGTATTCTGTCATGACTTTAATCGAGAACACAGACAGAGTTGTTGTCTCAAACATACTTTTAAAGGGTCATTTGCGATCTCCAGCAGTTGATCTTCTTGCACAGACCTGCTGGATTCACCTGGTTTGTTGACAAATGGGTTGCGGATCCATTCCTTAGGTCCTTTGTGGTTGGGAAGTAGCGCTCGAACTCTTTTAAAAGCAAAGACAGGTGATCGTGCACCAGCTGGGAGAATATAGGCTCAGGCTCAGTCTCACCCAAAATCCCCGCTAATGTTTGAAACATGTCCAAAATGCCTCTGTTGACGCGCCGTCCCCACAAATCCAGTTTGGCTTTAAATGCAACTACTTTATCTGCCAACTTGAAGACAGTTGTCATTTTCCCCTGAAGTGACAGATTGAGTTCATTAAGCAGGCTGAATATGTCCACAAGTAAGCCAGTTTTGGCGCTCAAGTAACCGAGAGAATACGGTCATTTTTCAAAATAAAAGATCGTTCAGACTCAGATAATAAATAAAACGGAAATAATTAATGATTGCTTGTGCGGCCCGGTACCAATTGATCCACGGACCGGTACCG